CTGTCAGCCTTTCAGCTGGGATCATGCTTGAAGTAGATTAGGCTATTTGTCAGAGGTTTACTGATTACATGCATTACGCTTTCGGAGCCTCAGGCAGGAGTGAGTGGTTCCAGTAGGCAGGAAGCACGGGCCCAGGCAGAGAGGATGGCCACGATGCAGAATCAGGCGCTGCGGTGGAGAGAGAGCTGCCAAGCTGCTGATTTGCCTGATGCTGGAGGTCGCACAAGTTATCCCCAGTCCGCCGAAGAGGTCAAGGCACAGCGTCAACACAGCCTCGCAGTTTCAAGTTTGACCACAGTCAGAGTTTGTGTGGTGGATTCCTCTGCGCTGCATTGCCACTTTGCATTGCCACCGTAGCTGCTGTCTGCGGCGTTGCTGGTGCCAGCTAGGCAATCACTGGGTGTGGCAGAATCTGGGCATCAGACGCCGTATCCTCCGCCGCCGCCTCCAGCTGTCGTGCCAGATCACAGGCTCATTGTTTGCCGCAAAAGGAGGTGAGTGTGGGACTTTGATTTGCTTCTAGCTTTGTGTTCAACTCGCCAGGCAATCGCTCTGGCTGCCGCTGCCACAGCAGTCACTTCAGTCGAAGCATTCTGCGCCGCAGCATGTGCCACAAACTCCGCTACCACCGCCCGCGCCAAATCTTGCGCTAAACCTTGCGCCGGAGCTTTCGCCACAAGCGAGACTGGTTCCCCCGCAAGAGGTCTACATGCAAGAAGAAAGGCAGGGCTTGGGGTGCAAGGCCCTGCACGATCCCTCGTTTGCTGCAATCAGCTGTGCTTGCTCGGACTGACCAGGAGACATTATGCTCCAAGCCCAGAGTACGACGGTGGCATGGAGGATCAAAACGGGGAGGTTCGAGGTGTTCCTCGGGGAGTCCTGCAAAAGTATGCCGCTCATCGAAATTCCCAGTGCAGACATCGAAAATGCCAAGCCGCATCCACGTGTGTTCTTCCTTTGCAAATCTGATATCAAACGCCTGCTGGCAGCCTTCCTAAACAACGTTGAACAGGTATTCAGGAGAAGGTTTAGCCAACTGCTGTTATTTGATGTGATTTGCACTTCAGGCCTGGGGTGAAAATGGGCCGCCTGTCAGGAACCTTGGCGGCAAAGCCAGCGTAGCAATGCGACGCTGGTTCTGCAGGGCTAGAACGAAGGGATCTAGCTGTGATTTCCTTCGGCCACAACTTGGAGGGCGCTTCAGATGGAGTCTTTGCACCGGTTGAACTAATCTTCCACAAACCTTGAACCCCAGAATCAGACCTGGGCACAGTTGGCCGCCGTCCTTACGTGCTCCGACAGCATGCAGGCTCTGGGCTCCCTTTAGCTAGGGCCTTGCTATTTCCGCAACATGGACTGCCGACAGCAGCACCGACCAAAGGGCCGTCGCGTTGCAGCTGCGGCTGCCTTAGCAGGTGCCCACGGAGAGTCTGATTTGGAAAATTCGCGGACTGTCGAGATTGCATTCTGTTTTGGCATGGGGCGCCAGAATTTTGGTGAGACGCCAGAAGCTGCTATTTGTCTCATTTGACTTTTTCCAAAGCTTTTTCCAAAGATACAGGCAATCGTATTAGGCGCGGTCTCTCTGATTCCTTGCATGAACTTTCAAGTAGCAAGAATCGCGCCATGGTGTCTGGAGCAACTTCATGAACAGGCCATTGCTCCAGATGCCTTTAACTACTGTGCTGTGGTAGCGTCAGCAGAGACACGCTTGGATGTACGGATGCGTTTTGCTGCAACTGACAGGCGCCGTCCACTGCGGAGCCTCACTTTCCTTTACCAACCCTGGCCCAACGCCTCTTGTATCAGTAGACAGGCTGACTTGAAGGCCAGGTTTGAAGCTATTTGAAGCCTTGGGGGCTGAGGTCCAAGTGGCCACATGTGGCGCAGGCAGGTGCTCTTGGTAGAGGCCCTCAAACTCGCGTGGCGCGGGCTGCTGAAGCCGAGGCCAGGAGCCTTGACGGAGCGAGGAAGTGGATTTTTGTGAGAGGGGTGCTTGCTGCTGTAGGTGCCTACATGCTTTCATAGTGGGTGGGGGTAAAGGAGTCTACAGTGCAATCTTAGGATGAAAGGAGATATAGGAGATAGTACAGGTAATTTTTAGGCTTCTATTCTACAGTACTTGTAGGTTGCCAGGGCTGTGAGAGCAACAGAGAGAAAGAGGGAGACTGAGAAGAAAAAGAAGGGATGTGCTCTGGCGCCTCCCTTGGGGGCATACGGCCAAATGTACCATAATTTATGGTTTTGAATATTTGCTCATGTGGTTGGAGATTGGCTGTGTGCAATTGGTGTTTTCTCCTAGGCTTAAGCCTTGCAAGGGTGTGGGGGTGATCCCAGGGTGGGTAACGAGCCTATCCCAGCCCCCGAACGAAAGACATCTCTGTTCATGAGGGGTGCATAGCCTGATGAAGAAGGAGAGAGATACAATCACGAAAGCTAGGTGCTTGCAGCTTGCGAGAGCTTCTGTTTACCA